AATACATTAGTCAACTTCTTTTTACAGTCTCTGCTCCTGTCTCTGCCTCTGTCTCTCATTGGAATGGATAAAACAAGATAAAACAAAGGTGTGTGGGGTTTAAAAACACAGTAGAGCACTTCCACATAACATCACAACGTGACTTTCAATGTGTTTTCATTTTGCAGGTCTGTTTTTGGTGAGGAAAGAACATTATAACATAGATCAGGATCATAACTCGTGTGTCTCTGGTGTCCTCAGATTTCCTCTTTTTGGTCCATTTATTGAGTATTAAAAGTGGCGTGTTACAGACAGCGATCCATCGTCTTGATGAGTGGAACATTGTTCTTGTTCTCCAGCCCGGTCGGACTGGAGCTCATAGTCTTTATTTACGGCCGTCATTGAGGAGAGTGTCAGGTTTACAAGTGTCTCAGCTCGTAAAGTGCTCAGGCCGGAGGCTAATGCTAACTGCTGCTAATCGACTCCAGGCCGTAAAAGCCTGGATGAAATCACAGCACTCGCACTTCTAACTTCATCTTCCCCTTCATCATCTGTATCACTGTATCAACCCCCCTCTCTGTCTCTCAAGTAAGTATAGCAGTACTCTCACATGCTCCGGCGCAAGTAAAAATAAAAACAGAGATCACAATTATTATGCAAGTATGTGTAAAGCATTTGCAGAAAATACTACTTGAGTACTGTGTACCTATGGGAAATACCACTAGTACCACGATTAAAAGGTGCTATGTACTGTGTACTGTGAATACACGTACCGAAAATACATATTCTGTATACTAATTTTGAGTTACTGTATTCAAAACACAATTACTTTTTTTATATTTAATATATAATATTTAATATATGGCGGTATTTCAAACTGCTTCAAACTGCACAATATTAGTGAGAAAAACATAGTGCAGTTTGTACTTCTCTAATCTCTAATACTCGGGGTGTAACGGTACTTTTATTCGTGCTGAACTGTTCTGGTACAGGACATTTGGTTTGGTGCAGGACAGTGCACGAGTGAATTAGCTAGCGCATTTTGTGTGTGTTTACATTTGTGTGTGTATTCATTTGTGTGCAAACACATTTGCCACTACATGTGCAGCTACACGGAAGGCTCGGCTCTTTAATAAAGTTTTTCCCGCAGCACTTTATACAACAATTGCCCCCCTTCTTTACTACATCCCTCCGAACCACGAGAATCCTCACATTACTACATGCACCCCGGTCCTCACTTTCGGGGTGAGGACCGCCACCCTAAACCTTTGACCTCTGTCTCTAGCGAAAGTGTATTTTCAATTGCTGGGGACACTGTAACTGCAGCAGATCTGTACTTTCTGCAGACAATGTGGACAAGTTTTTTTGGGTTTTTTTTTCTGGCCAAAAGTATGAAGATTGAGTAAAAACTTCATGCTGGAACTGTTAGTGCTGCGCTTTACTTTTTGAAACATGTTGTTTACTGTTTACAAGGAATTTATTTTTTATATTACACACATTTGTTGCGTATTTGAGAATATTTTACTTAACTTATTAACATAGGCGAGTTTCATTGTTGACAAAAGCGCGGGAATTATTTTGGTCGGCGGCAATAAACACTAATTCAACATGACGGACGGAGCGAGAAAGCACGTCAAGGGTATTGATCCCGGTTATTTATCCACTCTAACGGCAGAGGACCGAAGACCGAAGAAGACGATTTGACCAGAAATTGGTCATAAGCATCGACGGACGACAAAATCACCCTTTTCAACCCCGACAAAAGGTGGACCAAACCAAATTTCTGGTCAGAATCGCCAACTACCTGGACAAATATTCACTTCGGCGATATCCACAATGACTTGGTGGAAACTCCTGGGCCATTCACAGCAGAAAAGATGAAAACCTCCAAGAGTCTCGATGTGTTGTTGAACTTGTTGGAGTCCACGGTTTGTTAGGATCTTCTACGTTTGCTCTGCGAATGTTTGAAAGCCGTTTAATTCTAGTTCTTTTCACTCAGAATACGAAAAAGACATTTTCCTTCTTCCGTGCTTCTATTTGTGCATCCGATAATGCAGCAGGAATTTACCATTATCGGGGATAAATACGTGAGGTTACGCACTGTGTTTGACGCTATCGTGTTTCTTGCCTCCGACCAAAATATTTCCCAGCATGCAACGTGGGCTTTTAATAACAATAACGTCAGCTGAAACTTGCCTATTACCAAGCAGCACTTTGCATTTATTTTATTTTCCCATTTGTATAATGTTAAAACAAATTGTTGGTTTAATAAAGACACAAATGAACAACACGCAAATGGTTTTGTAATGGATATGGTTATGTAATACACTAGTGCATTACAAATTGTGAAACAAATCTCTATCCCGTCTCTACACTACAGTATAATGAACTCAATAAGAAAATATTCCAAGTATTCTAAATACAGTAGTCTGCCTGGACCATGTTATTGTTTTTATTCTTCCCATCACTGGCTAAGGTCCACCACCTGTTTGTCTCCATGGAGATGTTGTTTATTTGCCTGGGATGCTCGACAGTCTGGCATTAAACAGATCATTTATGCTTTTATTCAATGACAGGCGTTTTGTTGCTCAGAAATGCCCAGAAAACTCACCTGTAACATGGGAAAGTGGCTTCACCTTGTCTCCACGGCTCCAGACGCTTCACCACAAAAGTTACATATTTTTATTACTAAGAGAGAATCAGAATCGACTTTTACATTTATATTTGCTCTTGTCTTCCATCTGAAATTCACCCAGCCTCAGCCCTTCAGTTGCGCACCTCGTTGCATCATCAAACTGAGCCAGACGTTATGAGACAGGAGTAAATTGTAGGTTGATCCAGGTTGGGTTTGTGTACAGAAAACAGACGGCTCCTGTGGGTGAAGTGTGGATAAGACAAAGTTTCATCAGTCGTCTGTTTAAACGTTTGGCTCAGGACTCCACTCTGCAGATTACACACACTTTAATCTCACCACAACACGTGCACTTTACTTTTATTCAAGAAAACACAACTGGGACATTTTACACAGTTTGAAGGGGTCCAAACTTTCAAGTGTTCCTCACTTCCCGTATGCATTCTGAGCATCCTAATTATTCACTGTCATCTGTTTATGAGCACTTTTCACAACTTTCAGAAGTCAGAGCGAAGTTTTACTTTGTCACTGCAAAACTAAGAACAACCGGGATGCTAACAACACACTTTCTAGTTCTCAGAGGATAAGAAATGGTTTGTAATTAGATAGAGGGATATAGATATGGGGATCTAATACTGATATCAGATATCAGTGCTGAGGACATTTTGCTTATTTGGATATTGATTCAATGATATTGGTTCAATCTCATGCTCCATCCAAATCATTGTGGTGAAGCAGGAGCTGAGCCAAAAAGCAAAGCTCTCAATTTACCCGTCAATCTACGTTCCTCCCCTCACCTATTGTCATCATGATCTCTGGGTAATTACCGAAAGGACAAGATTCCATATACAAGAGGTCGAAATGAGTTTCCTCCACAGGGTGGCTGGACACTCCCTTAGAGATAGGGTGAGGAGCTCAGTCACACTGAGGAGGAGCTCAGAGTTGAGCCGCTGCTCCTCCACATCAAGAGGAGTAGCAGAAGTGGCTCGGGCATCTGTTCTGGATGCCTCCTGGACACCTCTTTCAGGAGGTGTTTCTCCATGTCCCACCGGGAGGAGGCCCTGGCACGCTGAAGGGACTATGTCTCTGGGCTGGCCTGGGAACACCTCAGGGTCCCCCCTGAGGAGCTGGATGAAGTGTCCGGGTCGAAGAAAGTCTGTAAGTCCCTGCTTAGACTGTTACCCCTGCGACCCGGCCCTGGATAAGCGGAAGAAAATGGATGAATATGGGTTCAGTCGATATCCTGGTTGGCTCTTTTAATGTGTTATGTAATAAGACAATTTACTGGTGTCTTATAGGCCCAATGTTTGAACTTTTATTCATACAAAACTGTTCAGTAGTTACTTCAGAATAAATAACACAAATTGATTACATTTGCTATAAGTTAACTGTTGGTTTTTTTTGTTTGGGTTTTTTTTGGGGGGGGGGTGCAATTTTCAGTCCCTACACTGGAGGTCAATATCGGGTATCGGCATCATAAGTATTGATATTGGTATTGGAGCTGAAAAAGCTGGATCGGTGCGTCCCTAATTAGATACAGTTTCATGTATACTTCATTCACTTTCCATAATTTTGGTGGTAAACCTTAACCATAATCACAGTTGCCCTGAGTGTAGCTGAACGCTGAAGATGGAGCTGCCAAAACATGCATTCTTACTGTAAGCAGGGTCGCCACTCCACAGATCTAACCTGTAACTGCGTGTCTACAGTATATAGATTCATTTAATATCATACTGTGTGGAATTTTCTTGGCAAAGCAGTAACATGGAGAAGAGAAGATCGCAAGAAGACCCCCCACCGAGTTCAAAGCTCAACCTTTAAACGCTACACTTGACTCACATGACTGTGCTGCACATTAAAAACCTTGTCCCATTGTTGCCACGGCCGCTGCCTTTGAATGAGAAGTGATTGAGCCCACGCTGAGTCCTGCCTGGGCTCTGGAGGGGGCGGGACTTTGCACTCCGCAGCGCAACAAGTCCAAGGGCGCAAGAAGTGGATGAGAGACAACTCCAAACGCATCAACTCGACCCAAACACTCACTTTTATCCCTGGATTATGATATTTTTCGCATTTTTCGATTTAGTCACGGCTCTTTTGTGCGTGGGGACGTAGCGTGGCAAACTTTCCCCGGACTTTGAACGCGCGCTTTGGGATGTTTTCTTTACACATGATGGCAATGTGGATTAAGTGGATTTAACACGAGCGTTTACAACTTAAATACTCGTTTTCTAGACTTAGCTTTCACTGTTTGGGTTCGTATTGACCGCTTTGGATTACCACTCGAGACCACTTTGGATTTAACTCAAAAGGAATATAACATTGAAATGATCCGGACAACCTGGGAGGATATAACTTAATCAAAAAAGGTGTTTGGATACTCCGTGGCACCATGATGTCGCTCGTTTGGCTGTGCGTAATTGCGCTTTGGTTGGATTTCGCCGTGGGGAGCAGAAACTGTCCGGACGTGATCGTGGAGAGCTGTCACTGCGACGTGGAGAGGTCCAAGGAGCTGAGCCGGCAGCAGCAGCCCCAGCGCGTGAAAGTGGTGTGTGATGACGCAGAGCTCATGGACACGCTGCACCCGAGTTTTCTGCCCAACCGGACCGTGTTACTGTGAGTAGCAATAAAAGTCTGCAACTGTGAAAAGTTTGACGCACCAGTTTCAAAATTAAAGGTCCCATATTACGCAAAATTCACTCTTGGGAGCTTTAAGACAGGTTAGAATGTTGTTAACTCCTCAAAAACAGACCTGGAGTTTGTTTCATTCACACGTTTGAGTAACACTTTTATTAGTCTGTTTATATCTCCAAAGCTCAAAGTTTTAAAGTTGACAGCTAAATTTTACGTTTTGATCAGAAGAAATTGGCAATTCTAGAGCTGGAATTATCCAAATGATTCTAGTGAAGGTGTTTGGAGTTTAAAACACAGTGGAGCACTTCCTTTTTGAGAGAAATCAGCCTAAATATGTAGGATTTGTGTGTTAAATTAGCTTGAATGAAACAAAACACAACTCCAGGAATCTTTGTGATGAGAAAACATTATAACATAAATCAGAAAATAGCGTAATATGGGCTCTTTAAATGCTTTAAATATAACATATGGTTTTGATTCCCAAGAACCACCCAGTAACGCTGATAAAATTGAAAATAAATATTATCTTATGCATATTTTTAGACTCAAGACTTACACAGATCTAAGATGAAGATTGTATCAGTAAAAGCACAACTAATGAATGAATGAATGGATGAATGAGGGTTACACGGCTTTCAGAAAACTAAAAATTGTTGTGTGTTTTGTTTATTTAATATGGTTATTGTCTATTGTTGCCTGAAATACAATGATTTCTGCCAGTATTACATAACATTCACTAACAGTCTAAAGTTTGGACTCACCCTGTTATTTAGTACCCGGCAAAGTTTTAGAACACCACACTTTCTCCATTTTTTTACTGTTTACTGTTGACCAAATCGTATTCTAAACTTTTGATTCATGAAAGTGTTCACCTTTGGCAGATATAACAGCTGAACACACTCGTGGCTCGTTCTTTTCACAATAGAAATCAAATATTCTTCAGAAAGTTCTTCCCAAGTCTGTTGCAGAAGTTCCCATAAATGTGTGGCACTTGTAGGTTGCTTCACTCTTCTGTCCAGTTCATCCCAAACCAGATCCATGGGGTTTAAGTCTGGACACTGTGCTGCTGGACTCTGCATGTTTTCAAGCTTTACCATCTTGCTCTTTTTTCCTGTGGTAGTTTTGGCAGAGCTTGGACTTGTGTTTTGTATCTTTTATTTTTTTTTTAATCTCTGACTATTCAGTTTTTACTTTTGTACCATTTTAAACTTCATTGGACTTGCACGACTTGAATTGCAATAAATAACTGGAAAAATAAGGTTGTTCAAAAATTTTTGACTGGTTAGGGTTAGGGTTAGGGTTATGTAGTAAAAAAATAAAATAAAAAATTGAATTACACTTTTTTTTTTTAAATAACCAAATCCTCAAATTACTCACCTTTTGCTTTGTCAAAAAATAATTAGTAGAGCTTTTTATCTTCACTAAATAATTCCATATATCTTGGTTCAAGTATTTGATGTCTTCTGTATGAATCTAAAATACTGAAAATGGTAAGAACAGTTAGCCAGTCTGGCGCCACCTAGTGCCTCCGCTCAATTTCATTTCTCTCCAGCGACTAGATCAGGAATCAAAATACACTAGACCAGACATGTCAGACTCAGGCCCGGGGGCCAAATTTGGCTCGTGATATAATTATATTTGGTCCGTGAGATCATATCAAATATGTATTAGAGCTGCCCCGCCGGCTACAGATAAGATATAGAGATATTATTTATTTAAAATTTTGTAATTATTTAATATTTTGCTTCTGGATTCAGTGTTTAAGCAAAACTATTATTAAACATTTATTTTAATAAGAAAAGGTTTAACATTACACATCTCAAAAGAAGAGCAGATGCTGTTGACATTTTTCAATAAATATTTATTTTGGCCCACGACTTAGTCCCAGTTTTTAATTTTGGCCTCTGTGAATTTGAGTTTGACACCCTTGCACTAGACGGTTTGCAAGAACCCCAAAAGTTGTAGACCGCGCTCTGGCCAATCAGAGAAGAGCTGTGAAGCCATGAAGTCAAACTCAAGCGCCTGTCTGGGTCCCTTTTGTGGTACAACACAACAGTAAACAAAACGGTCGAGATGGATGTAGAAGAAGACAGACATTCTGTGTTGGCGACGATTCCCGAGATCGAGGATTTAAAGCCGGAACAAAGAGAATGTTTGGTGAATTTTATCAAGGGAAAAGACGTTATTGTTCTTCTTCCTGCGGGATTTGGAGCATTACATACATCACGACCAAACAGCAGCGATTGGTTAAATAAAAAAGTACCCGCCTACTGTCGAGCGAACGAATCCTAACGCTGCGAGGTCATGAATCAGGATAAAGAACAGTGGTACAGAAACAAAAGCATGAAAGAGTGTGTCTAAACTTTAATCTACTATTGTAAATGAAAGTACACAATTTTAACTGGTGACAATGAAAAGTTGAAAGAGCTGAAGCTGAAATGGGGACGGCAATGGTGGAGAAATAAACTCTCTACGAACGCTCAAATCTCTAAAAGAACTGGACAAATATTTGTATATATGGATGAAATATTAAAAGTGCACTGTGTAATTTTTCTCATGGAGTAACCAAAGATTTTGTTGCTTTGCCACAGTAAATCTGTAACTAGTTCTCAAATTAAGTTCAGTTTGAGAAAAGAACTCAGCTTAAATATGCAGGATTTGTGATTTAAACATGTGTGAATGAAACAAACCACAACTCCAAGTCTGTTTTTATGAGGAAACACTTTAACGTAGATCAGAAAATTGTGTATTACGAGGCTTTTAAGTTTAGATCCGTTTAGAAAAACATGGTCGAAATGCAACAAGACAAGAATCGTTTTACAGACAGCACTGGAGACTTCATAAATACATTTCACAAAGTTCAAATGTTCCAGCTCCAATAAAACATTTAAGAGCAGTTTAGTAATAGACTCCAAGTGCCTTTTACAGACGTGACTGAGCTCTCTGCAGCACACGAAGAGCTGTGTTTTTCTCTTTTTAATCAGATAAAGTTTGAGCCGTAATAAGAAGTGGGAAATACATGAGGAGATACGGCTGCTTCAGACCCGAGCATTTTTACAGCCACACTCAAGCCGCTGAGACAAAAGCGATACAAAGCAGAGATAATAAACATTTGAATGCTACTAGAGTTTATACTTAATTGATTTAAGTGAGAAGACGTCGTTTTAAGTGATGTGTAAAGTAGGTAAAGCGTTTTACATAATGCATGCGTGCAGTAGATCTACATCTTGATGTGCGTGAAGAGGAGAAGAGTTATGAAGGTAATCGTATTATGTGTTCAGGTGTAAATGAAATAAAACAGAATTAGTCAGTGGTGTGCGATATATTGACTGAATTGAAGGACTGGTATGTTTTTGTATGGAACAGGTCTGTTAGAGTAGTGACCATTTTCATGTTATCTGTATTATAATAGTTAGTTTTTCTGTAATGTTTAGTGTAATGTTTACTGTGTCTTGCTTGGGTCATTTGGTGTATAATTCGCGTTGCTTTTCAAATAATAGTAATTGAAATTCCATACTGAGTTTCCAGGCAAAGCACTAACATATCCAAGGAGACAAGCAAAGTTACATAGTGATATTTTAATAAATGCAAGTCACGAAGACAAATTCAAAATATCATGATTATGATTGATATTTACATATATTTGGGTCCAGTCAAGCAGTAACGGAGGGAAACAGGGGCAGATTTTTTACATTCAAATGTCTCTTATTCAGAAACTAGAGGGACTATTGAAATAAGTAAAGTATCAGAATATAGGAAAGAGTTACACTCCAACAGGGTAAAGTTAAACCTGTGATATTCTTTCAAGTTTAAAAACTCATATTGGTAACAGAGGGAATGAAATATGCAGCACTTTTTGGGCAATAAATACAAACATTGAAAACAAACTGGTTTGAATATTTGCTTCATATAGTTTTCTACCATATGGTACAAGATTAGGTTGAAAAACCTCTTACTTTTTGAGTAATGAGATTTTTTATTAAGAAAGGTCATGGTAACGGAGGGAAAAGTAACGGAGGGAAAATTGTGCAAGTAGAAGGTGCAGGATTTTGCATAATTTGTCGCTTTTTTCTTCCGAAAACTTTAATATTACTTCAAAATGAAAGGAAACTATTTCTGTAAGACATGTCAGTCCTTCCAAGCAAATTTTTATCATTTTAAATACATAAAAAAAATAAATCATGTACCTTCATCAACAGTTCAAAGATTGAATAACACAAGATATGATGAAATACAATTTACTGACATGATTTGCAGGTCTTTGAAATTTGAAATAATATTTGTTCCATGTTTCATACATGGTCTGTTTAAAACGTATGTAACTTTAGAACCAAAAATGGTACAGAAAAAAGGTAAACAGTTTCATAAACTAGAGTACATATGTATCTGTTCAATACATTTTTATATCAGATGCATTAACTGGAATTTTTGGCCTTGTTGTTTACTTCTCCTTGACCAGACCCATTTACATATTACCTCATGTGCCTTATTAAACACATTTGAATCACATATGTCTTTAACAGTGTGGGGTCGTGTGGCCCTCTGCCACTCAAACCACTAATGCACATTTAAAGGGACAGTCTGGAATTTACATTTACCTTTACATGTCAGTCTGGTGTAATAATAGATTTGTTTTGTGGAGTGAGTAAGACCAGCACCAGTGACCTCTGCAAATACAAGGACTGGATGGAATATTTAAAAAAGTGTCTCCAAATATCTCCAACACTCTGGCTCAACTAGGAAATGAGGCCCTATGTCCCTTTAAAAGGCATTTCTGATTTCATATAAATGAGCCCAGAAGTCCAGTAAAAGCTCAACTCTTTCTGTATTTTAGCATGATCTGTGAACGTGATCAAAAGACTGTTCCTCATCACTGTTCCTCACCTGGTATTGCTCATTACAGGTCTTAAGTAGGGAGCAACCCACAGAAGACACAGGAGCTGCATTTTGGCCTCTACAAGCAGATTTAATACATTTAAAGG